AAAAAAAAAAAAGAAGAAAAGGGGAAGTGCTGTGGATATCACTCTATATAAATAAAACACTGATGGCCAGTGACCAGACAGGAAGTATAGGCAGGACAAAGAGAGAGGAGAATTGGGGAAACAGGAAGAAGGAGGAGGGACACTGCAGCCACTGCCAGGACAAGCAGCATGTAAAGACGCCGGTAAACCACCAGCCACGTGGCAAGGTATAGATTCATAGAAATGGGTTAATTTAAGATATAAGAACAGTTAACAAGAAGCCTGCCACGGCCATACAGTTTATAAGTGATATAAGCGTCTGAGTGATTATTTTATAAGTGGATTGTGGGACTGCAGGGCTTGGTGGAGCCTGGAGAGAAGCCCTCCAGCAACAGGCGAGCCTGCACTGGGAGCTTTCACCATCTCTTGTCCATACCGGTCCCCAGCCTGCAGGTGATACTTCCCATAGTCAAGGCCGGTCTTCCCTGCTGAGCCACTGTCCCAGAGGTCAGTCCACTGGGGAAGCACCCAGGGGTGTCATTTCCTCTCAGACATCTATCAGTCCAGTCGATAACTAAAGTTAACCACTATAGAGATGACTCAGTGGTTAAGAGCACTGGCTGCTCTTCCAGAGGTCCTGAGTTCAATTCCCAGCAACCACATGGTGGCTCACAAACATCTATAATAGGATGTGGCACCCTCTTCTGGCATGCAGGTATACATGCAAAGCACTCATACATAAAATGTAAATAAATAAATTTTTTTTAAAAAAAAAACTAATCACTACACCTCCCAAAGTCCCCTGAGGCATCTAGTGTAGGCCTCTGAGGAAAGTTGTGCCGTTTGATTCCAAGGAGGGAGTATTAGCTAATATTTGCTGTTAACTTGCCAGGAGGAATTTGTCACCCGGGAGACAAAACTCTGAGTATGTCTGGTAGGGGGATTCTAGATTTGGTTGAGGTAAGATAATGCCTCCCCAAATGTGAGTAGCACCATTTCCCAGACTGAATTAAAAAGGAGAGCGCAAGACGAGCACCAATGTTCATCACTCCCTGCTTCCTGGCTGCGGCTGCAGTGTGAGCAGCTGCCTCACAACCGGGGCCACCTCACACCCGCAGCCGCCTCATACCCGGGGCTGCCTTACACCAGCCACCTCACACCCGAGGCCACCACGCCTTCCCAACCACAATGGACTGTGTCCTCGGGAACTATAAGAGAAAATGATCCTTTCCTCCCTTTGGTCGGATATTTTTGCCTCACCAGTGAGACAAGGGGCGAGAGACGGACCTCCACTCCTTAGGAAAACCATCAACAGTGCAGAGCCAGCCCAGAGCCCGGGCGCCCTCGAACACTCAACTCGCTGTCCACACAGACTGCAGAACTAAGAGCTGGAAGTAGATTCTGTTGAGACAGTGGCAGCAAGCTCTGCCGCTGAGCTGCACCCTCAGACGGAGAAAATTCAAACCATAGCAGACTCGTGGGGCGGGGCGGGGCTGAGAAGCGGAGCTCAGTGTCAACACGAGGCGGTGGCCATGGTTGCACTACCCTGTGTATGTGATAAGACACACTGAACTGCAGCACACTTTGTGAACTCAACTACATGTGGGTAGTTCTGACGCTCCATGAGGTCGTTGCACGAGTCGGCTTTTTCCTTAGAGACGTCTCCATGTTTTCCCAAAGCAACGGGAGCCAGTGACAATTCAGGGTTTTGTTTATTTTCTTCTTCTCCCCCTCCCCCAACACAAACAACAGCTTCTGCTGTTGCTAAGAAGGAAAAAGCTCCCCAAGCTGCAAACTCGGTCATCCTGAGATGTGAAACTTGAAGGAAGCGACGGCTTCCACTCTCCTTTCTCCCCTGACTTCTCGGCTCTTCTCACAGTTACAAAAATGCACGGCACGATCCTGAGAAGTCTTTGAAGATCTCCCCTAAATTAGGAAACACTACCTATGGCACCCTGGGAGGGTGATGTCGACATGGCAAGTTGGCCATTGCCGAGCAGGCGGACGGAGACTGGGAAGGTCTAGGAGGTAAGCGGTAGACATCCCTGCTTTCAGACTGCGTGGACGCAAGGCTTGAAAGCTTGCCTCACCCAGGCAGTTTGGACCCTGACTATAAAACAAAGGGAGGGAGACCTACGTTGTTCAAAGTCACGGCTCTACCAGAACCGTGGCTCTGAACTATTTGTGGAAAAAAACTCACGATATGTTGTATCTGAGTCAGAGATGAACTTACAAAGAGAAAAACCACAACACCCCCAAACCTGGGAATAAAAAGCTTTCAAACCATCCTCTTTAATCTGTTCAACCCCCTTCAGTTCCTACCAGCACCCTTGGGAGAAAGTCAAACCTCTTTCCCAGGGTTGTTCTGAGAGCCGAGTGATCCAGTGACGTAGGCTGAAGGCACCTGCTGCGTGCGACCCTGAGAACAGCAGGTCAGCAGTACTTTTTATTGTTATTATTGAGTGTTCACTCCATGCCTCCTGGAACAGTCCTCATGCTGAACTTCCTAGGCTGTACCTGGCCAGAGCTCCCTGTCTACCAGCTGCTGCCTGGGAGAGGATTGTCCAGTCAGAGACTGGAAGGACCGGGCCCTGCAGGGGAGGTGTGGGTCAGCCTGGAAGGCTGAGAGGAGATCAGCCTTCGGAAGAGTGGGGCAGGGGACTGTGTATGGAGGGACTCAAGGCTCAAGCAGGGGTGACATCCTGGAGAGTCAGAGGGACCAGATTCTGTGCTGGCAGGAGCCATGGACGACCATGTCTCCCTCTGCCTAAAGTCCCCACTGCAATCTTGGTCAGTAGTCTGCCTTTCCAGCTCCCAGACGCTCATCAGGAAGTCAGATGTGGCAGGTGGACTCTGTTGCCCCCTCTTCCTCTGCCTGCAGGGCCTCTGGGCCCATTCTTGGAGCCAGTTCTCACCTTGTAGAGCATGTTCTCATCTCCTTCCACAGCAGGGCACTTTCTGCTTTAGGTGGAGAGCCCAGCCACCTTCTGAAGAGGGGCTTAGACAGTGTCTCTCTGTGATCAGCAGGACAGCACCAGGACAGCCCTCAATCTACCACGTCGTTACACCCCCGCAGAGCTGTCCTGATTGCCACAGTGCCCTTTGACCCTTGGGGAATCTGGTTCACCTTGTCTTGGTGCATATAGTAGCTATCAGTCTGCAAAGTCACGTGATCACTTGTAATGAGTTCAGATGTTCCTAGGATTCCCTTTCTACTTTAGGAGAGCCAGGTGTAACTTTGGGCCCCCTCCATTACTTCTCATAAGGGTCTGCTCTCCATCATTTCTTCAGACCAGGAAGCTAAACGACAGCTTCAAGCCCTCGTTCCCACACATGGGACAGGCCCTTATTTGCAAATGGGTCTCTAACAGCTGTCATTAAGCCCTAGTCCATTGACTAGTGTTCTGCTAAGACGACGTGGAAACATGCATGGGAGTACCTTGTGATAACATGGGCGGGCACAGGAGTGTGTAGTCCATAAAATTCTCCACATAAAAATACTTAAGAAGGCCGGGCAGTGGTGGCGCACGCCTTTAATCCCAGCACTTGGGAGGCAGAGGCAGGCAGATCTCTGTGAGTTCAAGGCCAGCCTGGTCTATAGAGCAAGATCCAGGACAAGCACCAAAACAACACAGAGAAACCCTGTCTTGAAAAACAAACAAACAAACAAACAATACTTAAGAAGGAAATTGGCTACTCCCCACGACTCAGTGAATAGGCCGGCTGTCTCTTTGAGCTGAGAAAGCTGCCTGGGTGTCTCTCTGGGGAAAGAGTGCAACAGGATGAGAAGCAGTAACTGGCTCAATGACATGGAAACAAACAGGATGGTGTAGGCAACCTTGGGGCAGCCCAGAGCCTCAGACCCAGGAAGAGTGAGGCCTACAGTCCCATCTGTGACCTTTGGCATGTTACTCCCCATCACTTCCCTTGAGTTCCTGTCCTTCTCTCTCTCCAGTGGGGGTCCTCACAGCAGCCTTCCAGCCTCCCAGGGCTGTTTTAACGTGGAAATGAAATGAACCATGAGGCTGTTTGTAGGCTGGAAAAGACCACTCAAATGACCGAAGCCACTTGCCATCTTAGCAGAGAGAAGAGCCACAGTAAAGGCAAAGGAAAGACTCAGAGTAAGCCCAGCGGTGTCTTGGTGTCTTTCTTACCTGTCTTGCAACATTCATTTGCAGTGGTTCTGAAAGTGTCAGCTATGTTTAAAGCTCTCCACGCGTGGGCACATCCTCCACACAATTCCTGTACCCACCTGGGCTGGCATTGAATTGCAAATTTCCCCAGGAAATAAGAACTCCAGATCGGGGTTGCGATGGATCATCTGATATCTTAGATGGTTAATTTTACCCACTGGTGGGAGGGTGGTTTTCTTTCAGCGTCGATTACTTGGACGTATTTCAAAACCTTTGATGCGCATTGTCCTGATGGATAAGCAGTTTTGCGTCTTAGCTGAGACTCCACAATGCAGCTGGGAAACTACGGATGGGAGCGTGGCAAGATTTCCCATCCCTTCCCAGCGTGGATGGAGAGGGAGTGTGGCCTCACACCAGGACTAGCTTCCTCAGTGCCAAGGAGTCTGGGAGGGCATCAGCAGGGCCAGTGGGAAGCATTCCTCTGACCCCAGCAGTTCTTTTTCTTTTTCTCTCCAAGATTTTTTTTTTAATTCTCTTTCTCTCTCTCACTGTGTGTGTGTGTGTGTGTGTATACTTATCTGTGTTGGTACCCACGGAGGTCAGAACAAAGTGTAAGATGCTCTGGATCTGGAGGTACAGGTGGTGGTGAACCACCTGAGATGGGTGCAGGTCATTGGGAAGGGCAGCAAGCGCTCTTAATCACCGAGCCACCTCTCCAGCCATAAAATAACCCTCCCTGCTGGGCGGTGGGCGGTGGGCGGTGGTGGCATACAACTTAATCCTAGCACTCAGGAGGCAGTGCAAGTGGATCTCTGGTCAGGACAGCCAGGGCTATGCAAAGAAACCCTGTCTCAAACAACAAACAAACAAACAAACAAAAATATTCCCCTCCTTTCTCTCCCACTTTTCCTGATTTCAGCATTAGCTTTTGTGAGGGAAAATTCTTAGCAGCACTCAAGGGCTGGGGAAGTTCACAGGGTGAGCAGGGTGACGAGCAGGCAGGTGGCAATGCCTCTTGGTTTTCTTACAGTGTCTCCCGGGGGGTAACAGAAAGGGGTCCGGTGACGTTCAGAAGCAGATTATTGGCTTGCAAAGGACAGAGGCTTAGCAAAAGATGCTGTTTTCTTCCATGTGAGGGACTGTAATTAGAGTAGACATTGAAGAAGTTCCCTCACCTACTCACGATGAAACAGGAAATCATCCTCTGGGCTTGCTTCCCTGGGGTCTTCACTGTCTCCCAGGCTCAGCCACTCAGCATGTAACCTCCCAAGGAGAATAGACCCCGGACTCTCCCCAAAGCCAAGCTGAAAAGGGACCTGTCCCTTGTAGCCACAGCAGGCAGAGTGACATCTGCATGTGTGCACAGCATCCTCCAACTAGAACGTTGAGACATGTCCCCTGCTGCTTCTATGGCCATTTTAGGTCAGGATAGTAAAAGCGAAGGGCAGGAGGGATCAAAGAGAGCCACAGACTCCTCCGAGGCAGAGCTGAGCCTTCAGGGCCTCTGAGGAAGGAGACGGCCTGGTGTTGTCTTTTCCCACACTCGCCTGACTGAGGTCCAGACAAGACAATGTGCTGCTGTTTCATTTCCTGTAGTGGATACGGAGGTTTATTGCCTTCCGGGCTCATCTTCTTCCCTGATAGACAGAGGCCACTGTCACTCCCCCTGCTCTAGGAAGGGGAAAGAGGCAGAGAGGAGAAACAGTTCTCAAGAACGCCTTGTTAGTCAGAGGAGTAAATGCCAAGCCTAGCCTGGTCCTGCAGCTACGTATACCTGCACACACACGCTGAGAAAGGGCTCTGCCAGGTCTCTGTGGGGATGCCGTGCATATGCAGCGGTGGACAACACTGCCTGGACCCACTTCCACCCAAGGACTCGTGGTGCCTGGAAGGGAAGCCAGCCCAACACCCAAATGTCTTAATTAGACCGGCTTCTTGTTGAGCAATAACTGCTCACCTCATAGGAGGAGTTGGGAGTGGGAACAATTCTCTGTGTGATTGAGTTCAAACAAAGTGGCAAGAAGCAGTGTAACATAGACCACAGGCTCCCATCGGCCTCATGAACTTCTTCTGCACTGACAGCTCACCTCAGGAACCTGGGGGGAGTTCAAAGCCATGCTGATGGGTTTGCACATCGTAGAATGAGGAAGCAATTTCAAGTTTTTAAGGAAGTGTGTATCAGTACAGCATTGAAACATTCATTTTAATATAAATACTAGTTATTTTTATAATCTATGCACAGGCATTTCAACTGCTTCCTTCGAAGCAGGATACTTAACTTTAAGATAATTATGTGATTAAAAATACGTTTTAAGGTGAGACACTGTACCTTGTTTGGTTTTGACACGCAACAGGTTCAAAAATGAAGATGAGCGTTCCAATTGATGTTGTGACACTGGTCAAAACCAGTGACACTCTACTTGGAATTCTTGCATTTTTGTCCATAACCAACTCATTTTATAGTGTATAATTTCTATGGCCACCAAGTGTCATGTGGGTGTAGTTAATAAGCCCACAGAAAGGCCCAGAAAATGATTCTATTTTAAAGAGAACTTGATAACATTGTTCCATGTTTTGACTTTTGAAGGAATGAAATGTAATTACCACTCAGCCACACGACCCCGCCCCCCCTACATTTTCCTGTTGTTGGGATGTTGGGTTGCTCTTATGAAGGTAGTTTGGCAAATCGGTAACTGCTCAAATTGGTGCTTATGCTGGAGGAGAAGGCTGCCAGAGGGTCTTGGCTCCACCTCTCCCATGATGGATGACACAGTCTTAGAAAGCAGCAGGATGGAAAGGGCCTCTCGGGGTATGACCTCACTGTGCGCATGCCCTTATCAGATAAAACATCACACTCTTCCAGGGCAAGAAAAGAGTATTATTTTCATCCAAAGGCTTGTCAGAAGCAGAAATTTCATACCTTTTCTCAGCAGGGCACACCAAAATTCGGTCATTTCAGCACAGCTAGGGAAAGTAGAGGAATCCTGCCCTCATGGAGACTGCCTGCTGAGACAGGTCCTCTCCTGGACAATAGGAAAACTATAAAATAAGGACAAAATATAAGGACAGGTAGAGAAAAGAAAAAAGTTGGAATAAATTTCAGAAACATGAAGCAAAGCACAGTTTATTTATTTAATTTTATTTTTTTATTAGCAATACTCAAAACTTAGCCCTGAAAAATCTAGTACCCAGGTTTAGGATGCCCTTTCCCCAAGACATGCACATCTGCAATCCAGGGTTAGCCTAGGGAGGGCAGCTCTGGCACCAGGGAGGCTAGCAGCCCAAGCTGCTGGGAGACTTTCCAGCCCGGCTCCCTCATCCCTCCTCTGGACTCTCTGGTCTCATTAGCAGGTAAGTGTGTCTTTTCCAGCTTTGGTGACTCAGTGACTCCTTCTTGGGCTGTGGGGCTGACTGAAGAGATGGCTCAGTGGTTAAGAACACTCTTTCTTGCTCTTTCAGAGGACCCAGGCTCGGTTCCCAGTACCCACACGGTAGCCTACTTTGCCCCTTTTTTTAAATGGTTGCTGCTACCAGCAGCGGTTAGGCTGCAAGGGCGGTAGCTGGAGAGAAATCTGTTCCCTCTGGCTCCAACTCTCGCAAAGCTCCGAAGGGAACTTAACTAAACCTCTGTCCCTCTAAAGAACTCAAGATTCAAAGGTTAGGTGGAATTCTGCTCTTCAGAGGCTGAATAGCAAGTAGCTCACCTCCTCTCCTTGCTCCCATCCTCCAAAAAGCCCTCCTGCGCCTCCTCGCCCCTCCTTATAAACCCTTTCCACCTGGCTCCTCCCTACCACTTCCTGTCGGCTAGTAGCTGACGCAGCCTCCTGACCACAGGTGAACTTTATTTAATCAAACACATCTTTGCATCATTAAACAAACATTCCAGAGCATAAACAAAAGTAACACACCTTGGAATAATATCCCACAACAGCCTACAATTATCCATAACTCCAATTTACTTTTCTGACCTCCATGCATACCAGGCATACATGTGGTACATGTATACACACACACACACACACACACACACACACACACGCACGCACGCACGCACGCACGCACGCACGCACGCACGCACGCACGCACGCACGCACACGACAACATGCTCATACACATAAATAAATCTAAAACAACAATTTTAGGTGATGGAAACTTGTATAAACTGCACAGCAACTCAATGTTAAGTGGTGATTTTGTAAATTACCTCTTGGGCTCAGTTGCAAAGTGCTTTGATACAAGGACCTGGCTTTGATCACTGGAATCCATAGGGCGGAGGCATTGGGGGGAGGGGAAGACAAGAGCCAAATGTTGCCTATGCTGTAATCCCAGCACCGAGGAGGCCGAGACAGGCAGATTCCTGGCCAGCCTTGTTTGATAAAATAAGGTGAGTGTTGCCTCTGAGGAACAACATCTGACGTTGACCTTTCTTGTCCCCAATCCACACACACATAAACGTGCACATGCATCTTCACACACCCTTTCCCATGTGAACACATGACTATGTGTTCACACACAACACACCCAGCAGAACTTTTGTTTTAACTTTTGTTATCTGTATGGAAATTAGTCGATGCTCCTTTTTAAACCATCCTTAATTTGTAGAAGGCAACCGAACATTTTCTTTATTGCCTCCCGGTTATTTCCGGTCAAATTCATTCACACTCTGTTTAAACGTTGCTTATGTTCCTCTGTGCTTCCTGGTACATACTCCCTATGTAGTGCTCAGTTTGCTCTTCCCACGATAAATTGACACCTCTTTACTTTACTCAGGAAGGGGCTTACTCTCTTTGGAGTATTTACCTTTTCCTTTAAAATGGACTGTTTGGTGCTTTTTTTTTTTCTTTCCTGCTGAGACCTTTTCTGACCTTTTATTTTTAAACAGATATTCACAGGAAGTCGCGAACACAGTAGAAGTCCTGAGCATCCTTCACACAGTCTTCCCCACTGGTGACACTTTAGTGGAACTGTGGCCCAATACCGAGACCCGGGAGCTGATGCTAGCGCCACGTAGTGTGGACTGTTCCACCGGTTTCACCTGGAGTGGCTGTATGCAACCACATCAACGACCTCAGGCAGGACTGGCCATCACCACCCAGCCCACCCGCCCTGCTGACCTCACCCCAGCTCCATCCACCCTTACCTGAACATCCCAGCACCACATTCTCATCTCAACCACCCAGCATTGTACCCTCACCTGAGTCCCCAGTCCCCCGCCATCACTTGGCAAGGGGACCTCTCCCTGATGGCTGCACCTGGGTCATGTGGAGAATGTATATGTGAGATAGTATAAAGGGAATCACACCTAATTTTTTGAGATCTTCTTTTCTTTCTCTCAGTGCAGTGCCCTTGCATGTGGCTGGGTCATGCTTTTAATCTACTTTCACACTTTGTTTCTTTCTTTTTTTTTTTTGGTTTTTCAAGACAGGGTTTCTCGGTATAGCTTTGCGCCTTTCCTGGGACTCACTTGGTAGTCCAGGCTGGCC